CTTCCAACTCCTGTTCTTTCCCACTCGCCATTAGGGCTGGGTACCGAACATCGGTTCTTTTATGGTACCGACTGAAATGCTTCGGTTCTACAGAGTATCGAAACATGACTCGTCTTTCGGTACCAAGTTTCGGTGATTGGCTGTAACACTTAACGTGATTGCGTCATCCAGGAAAAATACACAGGTGGTCACGCCTACAGCCAGGGTTCATGTGTATCTGTTGTGAACTGGTTGCGAGCGTCGTGGAACCCCTTTAAAATGCCCCCCAGGTCAAAAGTGCGGCTTCACTTTATTAAGACTGATGCCAATAGTGCGCAATGCAATACATCGTGCACGGAAACAATTTAAGAGCAGAAAGTTGCTCGGTGTTTGACTGCAAGAAGAGCGGACCTTAGAAAGCAGACATGTTAATTTCTCTAAAGGAAAACTGCTAACTAAAAATGTCCTCACAATGTAACAGTGAATATTAGACACTGATTTTTTTTTTTTTATGTAAGAGGAAAAATGTAAATGGAAAAATCAGAGCTTAAAATAAAACTCAAGATTTGTACCTTTTTATGTTGTGTAATTTTCTTTTTCTTCGAATCGATTTTATAAAGCTGGTGTCGAAAAAAGTATCGTTTAGGAACCGGTATCGAAGTGAAGGTATCGGTATTGGTACCGGCACCGAAAATTTTTGAACAATACCCAGCCTTACTTGCCATACCCACACAATTCTCCACAACAACTGATTTTTTTCTGCTACAGCCAGCTACGCTGCTTCGCTTCTTCGCTTCTTCTTCTTGTTTACTACTAGTGGTTGGCTTTGGTCGCAGTACCGCCACCTTCTGCTCTGGAGTTAACACGCTTAACCTATGAGAAAAAGGAGCAGCGCATGAACCGAACGCAACACACACGAACCGAACCGAGACAGTCGAACTGAACGGTTCGGACGGTTTTCATAAACCGTTCCATCCCTAGTGTGTGAGTGTGTGCGTGAATGGGTGAATGACTGAATATAGTGTAAAGCGCTTTGGTCAAGTCTCCTGACTTGAAAAAGCACTACATTAGTACAGGCCATTTACCATTTAAGTCAAATGCAATCATTTGGTGAGAAATGTGTTAAACTCACAAAAGTCAGGATGACTGTTAAGTTTCTAATTCTAAGTTTAGTAAAACCCATCATTATCTCTCATGCTCTAAGTCTTCCCTCTGCGACAATATACTTGAGGGTAGAAAAACAATAGATATTTTATCCAGGAAACATTTTTTAATGCTAAATAGGGCTGCAACTAATGATTATTTAGCAAATTGATTAATCTGTCAACTATTATTTTGATTAATTGATAAATAATCAAATAGCCAAAGGTTCCTTCAGTAAGATTTCTTAAGAAATTAAACCAGTGGAAACTCAAACGTTTCCACTTGAGGAGTTCTGCATAGAGCATAGTGACAGATGAATTTTTTTTTTTTTTATCTTAAATGCAAAATGTTTAGGTTTTTTTTTTTTTTTACAATTTTGATATAATTACTTTTTAAAGTGGGTTGTTCTGTGACCTTAAGGCATGTTATAGAGTCTCTATACTCCATTTAACGATTGATCGCTTACTAAATTAGTTGATGATTATTTCAATAATTGATTAATCAGGACTCATCTGATTGTAAAAATCCTGCCCTAATTATAAATAATAAACCTATGAGTAAAGGATAGGCAGGTGTCTTATAAGGAGGAGATATGTTTTGCATTTTTGTTTTATTGCTGCCTCCAGTGCTGTAAACACTTCTCCAAAATACCAAGAGGCACGACCACATGGTTATGAGAGCACAACCCAAGTTTTAACAAGACCAAAGGGCTTTTCAGCATTGAGTCATGGAGGTTTTGTCAAAGAAAATTATGATCTGTCAAATGTGAAGAGAGGCATATTGATAGTTTTCGGACCAGGAGGCGACAAGGAGGAAAACGAGCCACACACGAAGCCACACACAGTTAAGCCAAAAAAAAAAAACATTTATAAGGCAGGGGCCATGTTTCTGGATGTAATAGTAGACGTATCTATTTATTTATTTATTTATTTATTTTGCCGAAACTAGTCCCTGTTTTCTATGATACACGTTGAAAATTAAAATCTACACCAAAGTTATGCCAGCTTGTGAAAATTGTGCAAACGGAAAGCATAGAAGTGATCGCTTCAGGGAGGGAAATGAAAAATGGAAAATATTACCCACATCTTCATTTCGCTTACGTAACATGAAGTATTCAAGAAATAAATTAGAGGAACATAATAACAGGAATGTCAGATGTTTTTGCCCTATGCCAGGGCACTGAAACATCCCCTCTGACGCAAACGCTTTAAACTCTGACAGCTAACCTCTGAGAACATTCAAGGGAAAAACAGGGACACAGGCAACATTTACTGCAGGGACTCTTAGAGGAGCATCAAATAAAAACAGCTAAGGCATGTGGAGAACATTGAGGGAGACATGAGGGAGAATGGGTCAAATGTTATTTTCATTTTGGTATGAGTAGAAGAAACTCGAATGCAAATTGGAAAAAAAAACTGAAAAGCTCTTATTGCTTAGCTCAAGGATTTCTGCTAAAAGTGGAAGCTAAGGTAAAGTTTAAATTGTCATCAAACATGTTGTATACTATATACCCAGAGTTGAATGAATGACTAACAGAAAATTGGGCATAAAAATAAATCCAGTTTATGCTCAGCTGGATCTAAAAACACACAAAGAGGAAACTGATAAGAGCTCAAAATATCCATTCCTTACTTATAAGCTATTTTGAAGTCAAAGAGTTTAGGAACCATAAACACTACTTAAATGCTGTAATAATATATAATTTTTATAAATGCCATTTGTGATGTGTTGCGTTCTTTGAAACAAATTATAAAAGTGTAAATAGAGTATGAATCTGTTGGAATCTGCTGGGGGTTTTTTTTATAAAAGAGGAGATGAGCAGCTTAAGTGTTTGTCATGTCTCTGGAAATGTTGTGGTAAAAGCATTTTCAAAAACTTGCAAACAACTTGCAATAATTACCATGATAGCATTAGCAAATTGCTGGTGAATATTCTCAGTCATCCAGGTCATAGTCGTTCCAAAAAAGTAAAAAAAAAAAAAAACAATAACACCCCGCCCCCCAACCCCCTTTCAGAGGCATAGACCAGTATTGAGTATTGCAGGATAACAAAGAACCCCAAAAAACTCCCCATTCCTCAGGAATAGACCCCTTCTTCTGGTTCAATTTGGATGTTTTCTAAGCCAAAACAAGTTTTTGGGCTACTTTATAAAGCACCAAACTCCAAGTTAATTCTGACATTTTTAATTGAAAAAGCTTCCTGGATGGGAAACCAAAAGTCTTAAAACTTGGAAACAAAGTCCAGTGGATCCTTTTTAACTTTTTTGGAATTGCATTAGCAAACTGTGGGGAGGAATCCAGCTTCAATCACTATTTTTTGCCCCCATTATTCAAGAATTTCTTTAACGTTGTACAGTTTGAAGATATCCCCTCAACTTTTCTAATATCTATAACCATGTCCTCCAAAATATATAGCAAACCCAAAAACAACATTACAATTAGTCCTCTTAGCTCAATGGGCATTGATGAAGCCCCCTGATTATTGAAAGTTCTTTTACAGTGGCCACATTTTGGGTGTTTGGTATCGATCAAACAGTTATGGAATAACACAAAGTACTGTTAAAAAGAAAAAAACATAAAACATATTGCCGTACAGAGGTGAGAAAATGGTGCTCAAAGTTGTGACTAAATTACACAGACTGGTTCATCATCTTTTAAATAAGCGTGATTGTATATTTATTTACTTTAGTTCAAAAAAAAAAAAACATGGATCAAATAAACTTTAGCTAAAAAAATTATTTACTAAAAAGAAAGTCACTCTCTGCAGTTTGAAATGTATGAAATCCTAATTCTATTTAATAAAACAAAGGCATTTTGACTGACTTGTTTCTGAAAGTAAAGTAGGCATTAGGGCCAACCACATCACAATACAAAAATTGCAGGTTCAGATAAATTAGTTGTTACTCAAGGTACCCAGTGGGGATGTCCCAGTACAAATTTTTTCATTTCCGATTCGATACCAATATTACAGCTTTTAAAATTGGTCAATATCAATATCGATAGTTACTCGAATTTATATTAGCACGTATCACACCAGACTTTATTACTTATTTTGTACTGTAGAATGTTAGTAAAGGATTTATCGCGTAATATTATTAAAACAGGGAACAAAAAATTCAAAAAATAAGGCATGAAAACAACTGAACCAAATCAACTTTAACAGAAAGTTGATATGGTTTAACAGAACTAAAGAGTTTCTATCAGCATGAACACGACTGAGATTTTAGATGCCGGTCAATTAAATCCGATATTTGTTTTTATGGTAATATCGGACCAATATCCAAAATCATCATCAGATTGGGACAGCCCTAGTACCAAGAGCCAGAATCCCATTTTTTCAGATCAGATGACTGGATAAGATTGTGCTCAGTGTTGTGTGTTAAGAACAAGCTGAAAGTGCTGTTACACAATGGCTAGAGAATAAATGTCATTCTGTTCTTGCAGCCAGAAAGAACATATTTCTTGGGTCTTATAAAGTTTCTAAGTCATTACTTTTAAGCTGCTTCCTTTTAGCATTACAATACTAGAGAGAAGACACTGAGCTGCTCAGGAACACATGGAGTCAATTTTCATTATCTGGAAAACTGTACATTGAATTAGAAAACTGCTATAAAATGACTGAACCCATGTATACTGAATTAAACAATGTAAACATTATCTAACAATGTGAAACAGATACAACAGAGAAGACATATTTGTTCTAGACCTTTCAAAGGCAAACAGCCAAAGCAAAGCTATTTGAATTATAATTACATTATTGTTACCATCTAAATCACTCGTGTCAAATTTATAGGTCCTTGAAGAGTGAATGCACTTCTAATCAGCTGGGTGGTCACAGAGAATAATTACTCTGAAAAAAAAAACATCTTCACATCTTACTTTGTCGTCTGTGAGAGTTCATCGTTCTGCACCCTTTACTTGACAGCGAAGCCGAGGAGAGAAGTGGGGGTGTCAGTTAATTTCTTTGGAAGAGGCAATGATCGTCATGTTCCACCCAATCTGGAGGAGACGTCGAAGGAGTCTTCCAGCTAACTGCCAGACTGTAAAAGGAAATACAGGAAAGCTTTTGTTGACAGCTGTTTAGTTCAGTGAGGACATTTTTTCCATAAATATGTTTGAGGGGGAAAAAAACTCTTCATGTATCTTTTTTACATAGAATTTTAGATAGAAAATAAAGCTAGAAGTAGTCTACATTGAAAGTTTTTTTTTTTTTTTTTTACTTTTCAAATGTGGTTTCATCTTAAACACCTAAGTGTAGGATCTTGAGATGTCAATATATGTACCTACAGGATTCTGGCACTGTTACAGGTTTAGTATTTGTACCTCACCCAATTAAAAGACGTTAATGTTTTAATTTTAATTAAACAATAATCATATATGTGTTTACATTTCTGTTGTTGTACTGTATATTTTACTTATTAATATCAGAGTAAGATTTTAAGAGATTAATATTTTATGGATTCTGCTTCAACTGCATAACAAACTTCAGCTTCAGAGGTCAGCCTAGGACTTCAGTGCAGAAGATTATGGCTTCTATGTGAGATGGATAACTTAACTAAATCTTTAAACAGGCCTGCAAAAGTCTTAGATATCTTTTATTAGAGAATCCAAGGACAAAGAGATTAAACATTTTATTTACATAACCAACATAACCACCTGTGTCTAGCATTTATAGGTTTATGTACTTCAAAACTTAAATACACAGAGTTAATATTTTATTGTTATTTAAAGCTACAGTGTGTAACTTTTAGCGACATCTAGCGGTCAGACTGCAGACCGCAGCAATATGAACATCTCCCCCCCACCGCGTCTCCCCCCCAACAGTACGGCGAGCGTTACGGGACAAAATGTCTTCCACGACGTCCGCATCACCTACCTTCTCAAGTGATGAGGTTTGTTTACATAGATAATTTTACAGATAGTATTTCATTAATCTGTGTAGGGTATAGATTTCATGTAGCTTTAAGATAATAAATATACCCGTTATTTTTTCTACATCGTTGTGACGTTTTGGCGATCTCGCAATCGCTAGTTTGTTGGCTCTGCGCTGCCGTAGCGCAAAGATGTCTGCCTCCATGGCTGCGAGACCCGCTCCTATGTAATTATAAATAACGAATTCTAAGGCAACGCAAATATTAAGGTTAAGAGGCTGAGCTCGTAGATGATGATAAATAACATAGTTATGTATAATATATTACATTTCTGACTGTATATCCCTGTAATTATTACACACTGTAGCTTTAATCAATCTTAGTTTTTTTTCTCAGCCTCTTATCAGGCTAAAAAAAGACTAAGACTTTAAAAGGACATTTCTCTTAAATCCCTGTTATCTTTCCTTTCTTCAGATATTTATTTTAATAAGTTTGCTTTTTTTATCTAAAGGCTTAGTATTTCTCCAGTTTTTCTTTAGAAATTATTTTATTTGGATGCATTGGTTTTATAAGTATTGTGGTTCATGAAGTTTTTCCCAGATAAATGTGTTTATTCAAGTTAACTTGTTTTTCTTTTCGATAGAAAGTTGTATTCCTAAGAAAGTCTGGGTTCTGTTGTGTGTCTTTTTAAGTATAATATTTATTCTGTTTCCTTTCCTTTTTTCCCCCTTCCCATACGGACAGTTCAGTTCTTATCTTTTGTTTCACTCTTGTTGCAAAATATAGCAGCTGTTTATCCATGGACTACAGCATGAAAAGTTCATATTTGGGTATTTTTATTTTAGTTTCTAGATGTAGCTCTTTGGAAGCAAGCATAGAATATGGTGTGTGAAAATATCAGTGTGTATCTGTGGTGCAACAGAGAAAACCCAGACTTGGTCAGAGAAGTGCAGTCTATCATATTTCAAAATGATTTCTAACAGAGTCAATAAATCAGAGGATTATATTTATTTTGAGAGTTAAAGTTAATTAATGATAATCAGTGTTTGATTTCAGACTTGGGGTTTGATTAATTACTGGCTGTGGGCATAAAAGATTTAACAGTCTAACCACCAGATCATGAACAGCATATTAAGAGAGTCTAACAATGTGCAGCTGTGGCTCTACAATGGCCAACAGCACACCAAGGTCAGGGTTTTTTTTAACCGATCTTATTCTTCATAGTGATCAGTAACTATTAAAGGAGAAGTTCGGTTTTTAACACTTTTAGCCCATTTTCTGTAGTGTCCAGGATGAAATCGAATGATCGACACCAAAATTTTGACAATTGGTCCTGTCTCTGCTTTTTGGCTCATTTAGAATCCACATTTAGAATGGCTTCCATAGAGCATGTCCGATAATGTCCTTAAAACAACCTTAAACGTTCTTTTTTTAAAATATGCTACTCACCGGGTCGTCAGCGCTGTTCAATGACGTTCCAAAAAAAGTTTCGTGAAGAAAAAACGTTCCTGTAGTGTTTTATTTAGCATTTTGTAAATCCCATTGAGTTCTGTAGGAATAGTCAATATTCCGCTGCCACCGGAAACGGAAATGGAGCCTGTTTACACAGTTGTAGTCTTTTCGCTTCACTCTGTGTACTCCGACGTCGAGGTGCTAACGTCTCTGTTAAACACTTTAAAAAACTCTGAAAATGGAATACGAAAGGTGGATTCTTGATTCTCGACGTCGGAGTACACAGAGTGAAGCGAAAAGACTACAACTGTGTAAACAGGCTCCATTTCCGTTTCCGGTGGCAGCGGAATATTGACTATTCCTACAGAACTCAATGGGATTTACAAAATGCTAAATAAAACACTACAGGAACGTTTTTTCTTTACGAAACTTTTTTTGGAACGTCATTGAACAGCGCTGACGACCCGGTGAGTAGCATATTTTAAAAAAAAGAACGTTTAAGGTTGTTTTAAGGACATTATCGGACATGCTCTATGGAAGCCATTCTAAAGCAGCCAGGGGTGGATTCTAAATGAGCCAAAAAGCAGAGACAGGACCAATTGTCAAAATTTTGGTGTCGATCATTCGATTTCATCCTGGACACTACAGAAAATGGGCTAAAAGTGTTAAAAACCGAACTTCTCCTTTAAGAAATAGTTCTCCCTCAAGGCATGTCATTATAAATTTAGAAAACAAACTAAACCTAAGTATAAATGAAGTGAATCTGGTGCAACCGAGCCGTAAATCTAAGTGTGTTGAAACCAGTTGGTTTTCTTATGCGAAGGTAACTGTGGGCCAGATTGAGGAAGCACATCTTTAATACAAGATCCTGTGGCGAGCGCTACATTATAGTAGGGCTGCAACTAACGATTATTTTACAAATCAGTTAATTAGTTGGGTATTTTTTTTTTATTAATAATCAGATTTTTTACGAAATTATACCAGATGACACTCAAATTTTTCCACTTAAGGAGATCTGGATAGAGCATATTTACAGACAAAACATTTTTTTTTTTTATCTTAAATGCAAAATGTTTATATATTTTTCTACAATCCTGGTATAAGTATTGCTCTACGTGTGTTAAAGGCATGTTTTACAGTCTCTATACTCAAGTTAACGATTAATCGATTACTAAATTAGTTGGCAATTATATCAATAATCGATTTATCATGAGTAATCTGATCAGTTGTTTTAGCCCTATATCAGAGCACTACGTAGAGATGGGCTCTGCTGCACATGTTTGAGATTGTGTGTGAAAAATTCCGCTTGTGCACTTCTGTACTAGTACAGGATTAAAACCTGAATAACGAATGTTGTATCAGACGACCTCAGCCAACCACTCATATATGACTCTTAATAATATTAATTGTACTTTAATTAAGATAAGATATTAAACAACATGTGCGTTTATGTAAGTAACAAAGCTGTAGGTTTAATGTGTCTTTTTAGTGTCTCAATAATCCAGAGTTGTGACACTGGCACTTACCAACTTTAGTTTAGCATTTTTTGCAATGAAAATATTAATAAACAGTAGTCTTATGTATGGTTAATTCCAACAGCCAGATTATGACTATTGATAGGTTTAGCTTGTAAACACATGGTTTCAGGAATCAAACAAGTCTGACAACAATTGTTGCACCGAAAAACACAAATCCAGGTTTTGATCAATTGGTGCCTGGTAACGCTGTACTTTTCTCCTGTGAAAAAGTATATAAAAGTAAAAGTATGTATAAAAGTAAATAATTCCTTTCTACTGTTCCCAAATGCTTGCTAAGGTTCATGGACCCACACAAAATAAACCACTCTTAAAGGTATAGAGGAGGATTTTCTCAATTTTTTTAAAAGAACTGCCCTCTCGACTTTAAAAAAAAATGCACATGCACAACACTGTACCTGCTCCCCAGAGGGAACTCCTATTAAACGTGTATGAGAGTTTGCACAAGCCTTTTTCTTCATGTTTTACTACGGATTTCTCCAAATAGAATGCCAAACTTAACCTGTCAAGTAGAAACTTTGCAACAGAAGCATCGGTGGGAAGCCCAAACTGTGCTTTCAGTGTACGCCATTGAATAAAAGAATCTCCCAAAAACACTCCGGTCTTGTTTCTCTCTTCTGAGGACTTTCTCTTCTTCTCAAACACTTTGTGGACACTTTTTCTCTTACAACCCTCAACCATTTTCAAAGAACCGCGGTGAGAAAGGTAAGCTTCAATGAGTTGCTGAAACCGTGGCTCGCCACACATATACACCTGAAGGTGCGCATGTACGGAAACATATACTTGTGTATATATTATCGTATAGTAGCAATATCAGTATCCGTCAGTACATACCTGTACTGCAGCAATGTTAATTTAGGACAACTTAAGTTGAACTAAATAATGGTGAAATGTTCTCCTAGACAGACATTTTTAATGAAAGATCCTGACAGCATCTAAGGGATTTTATTTTTTCAAACAAAAACAGATACTTTTATTACCCGAAAGGCTTTGATTTACAACACTATAAAACTCTCCATCTAGAAATACTAGCTACCTGAAAGAGCATCCTCAAATTGTAAAGAACTATGTCAGTAATGTTTAGTCCTTTCATCATTTCCATTTGCTATCTAAAATGTGCAACTCAGAGAGAAGGCTGGGAAGAGTCTATTGACATGAGCAGCCTGAAGTTAGTTTGTTATT